CAAAACTTTCCTCAAAATGCCTATTTTTAAACTAGTGATGTTAAAATGTGTTTAATTAATTAACTGTGTAGCCACTGAAAACTTCAGTGGCTACACAGTTACATGAGGGGTGTCAGGCAGCTCCCCAGGAGCCAGTGCACACAGGAAGCCAACTTTTAAGCCAGCTCCCTGCACATACTGGGAGCTTGCATATAACCGTGAAGGTTAACCAAGGAGCCCAGGCTCATCAGTTAACCATACACATGATTACATTTTCACATCCCTATTTTTAACTGCACCCACCCAGACCCTGAGCTGTCCAGGAGAGTCCCTTCTGCTGCTTGCTGGGAAGACCAGACTCGAGGTGGTCTCACCCCTGTCTCAGCCATCTGAGACTGGACTATAAGGTAGGGATGTAAGTGACTAGTAACTACCCGATAAGCACTTATCGGGTAGACAAGTAGGAACTTGACAAGTCTCTCCCCCCAGAGACAGGAAGTGAAGAGGGGGAGCAGGAGCAATGCTGGAAGGAAGGCAGCTTTTAAGCCGGTTCTCCCCAGCACTGTTTCCGCGGGGGGGGCAGGGCAGGCAGAGAACCGTGGGGAAACGGCACAAGCTGGGATTGAAACAGTCCCGCTTGCGCCAGTCTGACTGCTGCTCCTCTCCAGATTGTACAAGAGATTTCAAAGGGAGAGAGGTAGTGGGAACCCATGCCAGTGGGGACTAAAGCAGTCCCAGCTGGCACGGGTTCCTCTTTGTGCCTCTTCCTTTGAAATCTCTCTCTCCCTTTGAAAAGTACAGGAGCAGTGGGTGGCTCTTGTAAATTTCAAAGGGAGAGGCGCAGAAACTCCCTCCTTATCGACTAATCGAGTAGTCGAAGGAAAGTCCATTAGCCGATTAATCGAAATTTAACATCCCGGCTGTGTCTACACTGGGCCACTTATTCCGGAAAATCAGCCACTTTTCCGGAATAAGCTGCGAGCTGTCTACACTGGCCCTTGAATTTCCGGAAAAGCTACGATGCTCTACTGTACAAAATCAGCCGCTATTCCGGAAAAACTATTCTGCTCCCGCTCGGGCATAAGTCCTTATTCCGGAACACTGTTCCGGAAAAGGGCCAGTGTAGACAGCCCAGTAGTCTTTTCCGGAAAAAAGCCCCGATCGCAAAAATGACGATCGAGGTTCTTTTCCGGAAAAGTGCGTCTACATTGGCTACAGATGCTTTTCCGGAAAAGGGGCTTTTCCGGAAAAGCATCTGTGGCCAATGTAGACACTCTTTTCCGGAAATACTTATAACGAAAACTATTCTGTTTTAAGCATTTCCGGAAATTCATGCCAGTGTAGACACAGCCCCCTAGTATAAAGAGATTCCTGGGAGAAGTCAACCAGAAACAAAGAAGTTGATACTGGGAGATGTCATCTGTGTGCATGAAGACCCCACTTCAATCTACAGCTTTTTATCTGGACATTCTCTCCCAGGCTGACTGGCTGTTTGCTCCAGCTCTACTGCAGTCTCTGCTTCACTCCACCTACTCTTAATACTGCTCCCTTTTCTCCTTCCCCCTCTTTTCTCTTATCCCTTCCCCTATCTCTTTACTTCCCTTCTCTGCAAAGTCTCTTCTCCCATCCTCTGTCCCATCTCAATTCTTTCCCAACAAATACACATCCAAATAAAGAATAAGGAAATTAAAATGTGGTGCAACTAACCATCACACTGATCATCGGCTTTCATGTTATATTCCTTCCCACCCGCCTGCATCTTTCTTCTGTCCAGTATGTTTAGACAAATGGTTCTCAAAGTGTGGTCTGTGACCATCTTGCATGTGGGCTGCAGGTTCAGGGCTCAATCCCCCCTGTAGTGGGGGCCTGAACTGGTACTCCAGCCCTGCCGCCCTCCTGCAAAGTTGGAACACCAGCACCGGTTTAGATCCTCGAGGGCTGGATCAGGTTTGCAGGGGAAGGAAGCAGCTCTGCGCACTGCCACGCCGCCTTCCCCAGCTGGGGGAACAGCAGCACAGGAAATCACTCGTGGAGGCTTTCACCGCTGTTTCCACTGGCCAGAATCACACTCCCCATCTCCCTCATGCCCAGACTCCACACACTTACCCCACTACTGCACCTTACTTCCCACCCAGACCTGCCCCCCACCCTGAACCCATTCCTAAAACCAACCTCCCAGCCACATCCACACCCCCAGCCCACTTCTGCACCCCACCTCCCACACAGACCCCCACCCTCAGCAACTCCTGCACCCAACCTCTTGGCCAGACCCCGCATCCCCATTCCCTCCTGCACCCATTTTGTCATCAATGGTGGTTGGCTGGTGGTCCGCGGAAAGGTCTGTGTTGAGTGGGGTGAGCCACAGGCCAAAAAGTGTGAGAACCTCTACTATATATGAATAGCCTGTTCATTTTATATGTCTTGCTTAAAGGCTTGCTCACGGGCAGTTTTGTGTCTGTGTTGTATGTAAACCCTCTGCTATGAAAAAAGTAAAGGGCTATTCAAACTATCCTAAATGTTTATTTTTAAAAATCATGCCACATAATGACAGCATTAAGAAAACAGAGTAATTTTTAAATCTGTTTCTGCAGTAGGTGACTAAGCACTCCAGGAGACTTCCATTGATGAGGCCAAAGAGAAACAGATTACTTTAAAAAGACATTTGTTTAGAATAAGTGGTTCTCCAACTTTTTTTCCCCCTGTGGCCTAATCACTTTATATGAGATACCATTCTCAGTCAACTGCTCCTCCTAGCCTCCTTGTCACCCACATTCCTTCATCTCTTGTGCAGAACATAGTAACACTTCATAAAGGAATAGGAGAGGCTGTAGTCTGTCAAGACCTGCTACTGATCAGAAAACAGTGACAAGGAAAAGAACTCTGGGATGCCAGCTAAAAAGGAGATATGATAGCATGGAAAGAAGAGTTGCGGGTAGAGTCACCCTGCATTTACTTCCTGCTCAACTATCTTCAGACGCAGGAGCAGCAACTTTTAAAAATGCAAATGAGATATCTTCACCTCAAAGCTCAATTTTGCTGTAAAGGGATCATCCTCTTCAACAATGTCTGCGTTGTCATCAAATCTCAGTGTCTGTGCTCCTAGAGACATTTGTTATGGAAGAAACAAGGACTCCTACAAAATCAAACCTTTTTATCTTACCATTCACAGGACCTGTCATATGGCTTAGTGGTAAGGATTTCACTCCTTCCTCTACCCAATTCCTCATCTTGTCAGGCAGACTGGGAGTACTCAGATACCACTGGCATAATCCCTAGATTATATTAGATTGTGCTGCAGAAGAAGCTTGGTCTGGCCCAAAAAAAAATGGAGTGCCACACCTCACTAAGTAGCAATTGCTATGGAACAGCATATCTTAAAGCCACCAAGTTACTAGCGGTAATTAATCTACATAAACTCATGTGACCATAGAAGTACACCCCCATCCTCCAGCTTCCTAGCCTCCTATAAAACAGCTAAAATCTCACTTTGGGTAACCTCTAGACCGTGTTATCTTGTGTATTTGTATTGTGTCTACTACTATCAGGCCCTAACTACACGGGCACCACTGTGTGCCACAGCAATATAAAATACAGTAAACTTCTGATAATCTGGCACCTTTAGGACCTAGGGGGTGCCGGATTATCAAATATGCCAGACTATCAGAAGGGGGGGCTATGAGGGGTCTGGAGTGGGGTGGGAGGGGATACTGCTGCCGGGTTGGTAAGGTAGCGCCGACCCTTGGTGCGGTGAGAGCAGCCTGGCAGCACCTCAGCTGCAATCGGGGATGCCGGCAATAGAGCAGCTGGGGTGCTGCTGGGTTGGTCCCACAGCGCCGAAGGGCGGCGCTACGGCACCAACCCAGCAGCACTCCAGCTGCTCTTGGGGACGCCTGGGACAGAGCGCCATCCTTTGGCGCTACGAGATCAACCCCGCAGCACCCCAGCTGCTCTGCCCCAGGCGTCCGGATTCAGCCTGCTGGTGAAACTGACACTGCTGGTCAGTTTCAGCAGCAGCTGAATGGGGGAAGCCTGTCCGGCTGCCCCAGCACTTCCGGGTTCCTGATGGTGCCGGACCATCAGGAGTCCCGGAGCATTGGATGCCGGACTAATGGAGTTTTACTGTACTATAATTCTGTAAAATAACAGCAATGACAAGTTTCCAAAGGAGAACAACCCAGTTCTTCCTTACCAAGAAACATAGAAAGCTGGGACATAAGGATGCATGAGCAGACTAACGGATAGCCAAATACCACCCAGTCCTTTATAGTAAGTAAAATACAATTACATGAAAATAAGTGACTATTTTAACCTAAAAATATACAACAAGGTTATGAAACTGACTTTTTAAAAAGAAACCTTTTAAAATTAGTAGGATTAGTTAATATACCTTTACATTTTTAGTTGTTAAGCTATTGAAAAAGACGTACACTAAGAAATTGTACCCAATAATATTAACAATGAATCTAACTCCTAGTCATCCGAGAGAAGCAGATTAAAATGTAACAAAAGCAAATCTGACCAAAGAAATCTCCACAACCAAGACCTGTCTTCCAAACTGCTGCTCTTTCCCCAAGAAAACTAGAGAGTGTACTGAACTGAAAGGATACCATCACTTGCCATCTCTTGCCATTTATCTGCTCTCTTATTTAATCTTGGTGCTTCCAGATCAATAAGAGCTACAGCTTCTTCATCTGTGATCCCTTCTTCCAAATAGAACTCCACTAGATGCAATACTTCTAAAGGACATGTGTGAAAAAAGAAAGAGCAGTTATCTGCAAGAACAAATCTTTTCTTTGGTGTTACTGGCACTGAATTAGTCCCACATCCCACCCATTTGGTGCATTTTGCTGGTGCATGAGAACACCAGTTTTCAAGAAAATAGTTCCCTTTCTGGATAGAATAGATTCTGGTGTCTAGGACTGTGTGAGATTTGTTGCTGCAAAATGGCCACTGTTTTACTTCTGATGTCATAGCCCTGGCATTACTGTATGGGAAGAGATGAGGCAGTTTATTAACTCATATTCCATTTTTTTAAGAAGTTTTTTATTTTCTCAGCATAATATATTAAGTTGAAGGATGAGAATATGGAGAGAAAAGAATGCCACTATAGAACTCTGAGGACACATATCTTTAAAAGACTTAGGCAAGGCCTGCTAGAAATATTTAAATTTTTCCACATGACACTATACAGGAAATGTTAGGAAGGCAGAATGTATTGTCACCAACCTACTGATTAAATATTGGTAACATGCAATTACTACCACCTAGCTGAGCCTTTGAAGAAAGCAGACTTATCTGCATAGAAAATACAACCAATTTTTAAATTCCAACGCACCGTAAGATGAAGCTGAGAAGACGAATGGCTGTCTGCAGTTAATGCACACATTCCCCAGATTATTTAGCAAAGGGTTATTGGTGGAGCACCTATAGCACAAGGGCACAAGCTCCTGCAAAGACACATACACAAAGCAGCATAATTGCAAACAGACCATTCTGAACACAAGGTCTGATTACACATGGCACTGCTGCAGTTTTACACCAAAGTTCACACAACAGTAAAAAACTAAAGTAACACAATGGTGAAATCAACCCTTTTAACTTTTCCAAATATTTTTCTCACTTTCCCATTAAAAATAGCTGTTTTACTTCTCTTCTAATGCAATTTTGTTTGCTTCTGCTGTAGCAGTCTTAGGCCACGTACACATTTCCAAAAGGATTAACGAAGGTTAGAGAAGCAATTCTTTTTGCTCAGAAGTTTGGTCAAATTTAGGCCCTTTGATTCGCACATTTTTATTTTTTCTAAACTGTACAATTATCTTAGGCAGCTCTGTGAATTTCAAAGGTCTCACAGTGTTTACATTATTGCAGATAGCAAGATGCATGTTCATTTGCTTTAGTGAGCATTCCATCAGAAACAGATTTATAGAACACTGCAGTCACATTTCAGCTAAAGAAAAATAGAAGGGTTTAAAGCAAGACTTGAGGAAGGAAAGTTATTCAAAGTGTTGCAGGGAGGAAGCTGTAGCAGATGGGCAAGCATGTGACCTCCAACTGTAGACAGACACACAGAAAGACCCAAGAAAGCATTCTGTGGAGTAAGTGAATATGGAACTGAGGTATGGTGACGCTTGAAGGAACAGAGTGAGTAGTGAGGGAAATATGGAGATATGAGATCAGAGGTGAAGAAGGAACTTGTCCAGACAGAGAGGTCTCATTTTCATTTGGAACAAAGAGGGAGAAAGTCTGAAATGGAAAAGAATGGCAAGAGGATTTTGTTCCTTGCAGAAATATAATTACTGCAAATCTGCATAATCCATCTTAAGTATCTTTTTGCGTATGACAAAGTAGACTCTCATTATCGGGTCAAATACTAAATCAGTCAAATAATATATACCAGAACTTACTTCACTGTCATGGAATGGCTTGGATCGGATTGTCAGGCTGCCCAGCTCAATTGATTTTTGAAATCTAACTGGGATTTGCAGTCCCTGCAATTTGTCATAGGCATGACGGGCCAATTTATATGCACCCAGCACTTTACTCTGTTTTGCTAGTGCAAATAATGTATTGCTATAATCAAATTAAGGAACAAACATATGTAGCAGTCAGGAAAACACAGTTACTTTTAATCAGAGAAGTTATGCACTAAAGCACAACAAATGTCAATACTTTAAAAGGCCTTAACTAAAGAAATCTGTTCACATAAATGTTTTTACATAAACAAAATGCGAGAAGATTGCTAAAATATCAGAGTGGATGATTGTTAGACAGATAAGGAACTGGCCCATAGATAATGCAGTGTCAATTAATATTCTGACCCCCATCAACATTAATGCTTGTACAGACCATCCCCCACACCGATAATTTGAAATATCCAGAATCTTGCTGGCATCATGTGGCTATTTCAGAGCCCATGGCATTTATCCAGGAACTTACTCCCTTGTCTTATACTAAAATGTCTCCTGCCCTTTATTAATGTGCATCCCAGAGGACAACAAATAAGTAGAATTTAGAGTGTTTTATCCATACATCTCTACGCATTTTATCAATAATAGTTTTAGTGTCCCAAGTTTATAGAGGAGGAAATCAAAAAAGGGAAAGAAAATTACTTATCCAAGGTTACAAGCAAGCAACTGGAAAAGAGAGAAGTGGAACTCAGGTGTCCTGACTCCCACTTAACTGCCCTATCCACTGTACTGCCTGACTGACTGCTATTATCCACTGCAGATACAGATATATTTCAATGGGACTCATGAAATTTGTGAAAGATTTTGAAGATATGTGGCATACAAACTTATTAATGAAACCATGAAAAAACTGGTCTCGTATATGGCACAAAGATACATCAGACCTGAAAATAAGAACCAAAGAATCTAACATTTAGAACGACACAGCTACATTAGTCTAATGGGAATCAGAATCAACTTTAGAAGCAGCAACAGTCACAGTTTCTCTCCCAATTCCTTTCAATTTGTGGCTACTGCACTTTCAGTATTTCCAACTAAGATGTGTAGCTGTAGACTGGCATTTTGGAAAGTATTTCTCTTACTAAAGTGAGCAACATGTTTGATAATTTATGATAGCCTCCTGTAATCTATGCACATATGGCTAGATGTGCCCAAGTCTGTGATAGTTTTGAGTAGGGACTTAAAAAACTAGTCAAGTGGACTACTCACATTCCCCCTTCTCACTGCTTCTATATCAGAGGCAAGAGCTGCTAGTGGGGGGGAGCCGACTTAAAAGCTGGTTACCCCCAGCACCGCCTCCACGGTGTTGCCTGCCTCCTCCCACCACTGGGACCAAACCCCTCTGCAGCTCTGCAATTTAAAAGGCAGTAGGAGTCGGGCAGCCTACCCTCCCCCCCAGCTCCTATTGTATTTTAAATTGCAGTGCCGCAGTGGGGTTTGGTTCCAGACCTGGTGCCCCCAGCTCCTACAACATTTAGGAGCTAAGTGGGCAGGCAGTCCGGCTCAGTTCCTGCTCATGCCAGGTCCGGGACCAAATCCCACTGTGGCTCTGCAATTTAAAACGCAGCAGGAACCAAGGGACAGGCTGCCCAGCTCCTATTGCCATTTAAATTGCAGAGCCAACGGGGTTTGGTCCCAGCATGAGCCGGGACTGAGCTGGCTGCCTTCCCCTATCGACTAATTGAGTAGTCAATACAAATTCCATCTAATCTCAAAACTAGGGATGTTAAAATGAGGTTATTTTACTAATTGAGTAGTAAAGACAGTCCCATATTTATTTTCTAAAAGATGAGCAGCATGAGACCTTCTAATGCCAGGAACTAGCATACGCTAATAGTAAACCTATGTATCACTGATTGGTGCCAAGGATTCCCTTCAATTCATATAATAATATTTAACTTTTGCTTTGCATTGCAAGGATACACTTTAGAGATGCCCAGCGGAGTCTCCTTGGTTAGACTGTGAAGTAAAAACCTGGAAATATTGAAGAGTGTTTCAGGCAAATGGAAACTGAAGGGCTCCTCCTGTAGTAAAAAGAACATTAAAACATTTCTAAACTAAAAAAGTAACACTTCATAACACTGACACCAGGCTACTTTGGTCATCTCTGACACAACATTGTGCTTTTCACACTGTCGCAATGGGAGAGATGGAGAGAAGATAGCAATTGCATTTTGCATGCCTCTCTCTCCAAAGCTCATATTTGCCACTGAAAAAGAAAAGAGCTTCACCCAATAGAGAAAAAGCACTTAAAGGATAATTCTGACCCCACCTCCTCCAAAAGGAGCAGTGGGACAAGTATACAGACAGGGTGGTGAAGGAAAGCCTTCAAATCCTCATCCCCTGTGTCACTAAAAGGTGGTTCTAGGAAGTGGAATGGTAGTAGGTCCAACACAGAGGGGGGAAAAAAACAAAATTAGGTCACCTCAGTGCCACCAGCGTCCGTTCAATATTTAGTTTAAAATGGGTAACTGTTCCTAATTATTCCTGAATTATCTGCAGAAAATGTGCCAGCTAATGAACAATACTGGTGAAAATATCTTACAGTGTATCTGTGGATAGAGTAATAGACGTGATAAAGTTCTGCCAAGTGCTGGAAGTGGTGAAACTTCTGCAACATTTCAGTCTTCTGCTTTTCATTCTCTGTGAGAGGGAAAATCATTACTAAATTATTACTCAGCTAGAAAGATCACAGAACAACATGGCTGCAGCATTTACCATTGCCAATAGATTAATATACCTGACTAAGTGTGCTACAAAATATGGGCTATATAATTTTCCATTTTATGAGCAAAAATTTTATTTTTTGCTTTAACATATAGCATATTAAGATGCAGTCATTTTAACATAACCAGAAGCTAATGGCTTAGCTAGAAGTGGAACATATTAGCCCTACACCATTAGAGAACTGATTGACAACTTTAGAGGCTAAAGTAAAATGAGTTTAATGTGTATTTTACCCACATTAACACACTACTAAACAATCAAACCATTTGCAGTGTTTGTTCAGCATATAGATCAGCATTACCATGCATTAGCAAAACTGAAAAGGGGCTTAATCAGTGCAAGGCAAGAGGCCATTAATCTCGTTTTTATTATCCCTCATCTAAATCTCATCTTCACTGGCTCCACCCCTTCTCCAATGCAATGGATTTAAAGCAGCGAATTAATCTACACTTTCTTCTTTAGCTGGCTAAAATAACTCATGCAGTGTGTCCCCAGTTAATCTCATCCACATTTAATTATTAGGATAGACTATACTACGGGTTGAACCTCTAACAGGACCACTGATACCGCTGGACCAAAGAGTCCCAGAGGCTGGGAGTGGGGGCTAGCCAAGGTCAGGAGTGCAGCACTGGCCAGGCTGGCAGCAGTGGGGCTGGTGGTTGGAAGCACAGCCTGGGCCAGGCTTGGTAATGGGGTCTGAGCCAGGGTTGGTACAGCAGGGAATGGCCAGAGCCCAATGGCCAGGGTTGACAGCCATGAGGATGGCCGAAGCAGAGCTAATGGCCAGGAGGAGAGCCTTAACCTCCCCTGGTCTGGCAAACTCCCAGGTTTGGGACAGCTAAGGTCCCAAGGGTGTCAGACCAGGGAGGTCCAACCTGTATAAGATCATGTTTTATTATTAGCTAGCCCTCCAGTCATCACTTTATCCTAAATGTGAAGCAAAGGAAAGAGGCTAGGAGAAATGGTAATTAGCAGACATGGCAGCCTGGAACTCAATTTTGATTTCAAAAAGAGACTTATAATACACACACACACACACGTTTTAGAGAGTTTGTTAGAGAGTTTGTGTGTCTGTCTGTCTACCTGGAACTCAATTTTGATTTCAAAAAGAGACTTATAACACACACACACACACACACACACACACACACACACACACACGTTTTAGAGAGTTTGTGTGTCTGTCTGTCTACCTGTGAGTCCATTTATTCAAAAATTCCCTACTGAATCACAGAATGATAGAACCAGAAAGGACCTTGAGGGGTCATCAAATCCAGTCCCCTGCGCTCACGGCAGGACTAAGCACTGCATAGATCATTCTGTCTAGATCACAGACTCCAGTGGTGGAGATTCCACAACCCCCCCAGACAATTTATTACAGTGTTTAAGCACCACACATTTAGGTGACATTTAGGAAGTTTTTCTAAATGTCCAACCCAAACCTCTGTTGCTTCTTGTCCTATCCTCAAGGCCAAGGAGAACAATTTTTCTCCCTCCTCCTTGTAACATTCTCTTAGATGCTTGAAAACTGCTCTCATGTCCCCTCTCAGTCTTCTGTTTTCTAAACTAAACAAGCTCAATTCTTTCAGTTTTTCCTCATAGGTCATGATTTCTAGATCTTTAATCATTTTTGTTGCTCTTCTCTGGACCTTCTCCAATTTCTCCACATCTTTCTCGAAATGTGCTGTCCAGAACTGGACAAAATACTCCAATGGAGGCCTAAGCAGCACAGAGCAGAGCAGAAGAATGACTTCTCGTGTCTTGCTCACAATACTCCTCTTAATACATCCCAGAATCATATTTGCTTTTTTTACAACATTGTCACACTGTTGACTCATGTTTAACTTGTCATCCACTATGACCCCTAAATTCCTTTCTGCAGTACTCCTTCCTAGACAATCACTTCCCATTCTTTATGTGTGAAACTGATTGTTCCTTCCTAAGCAGAGTACTTTGTATTTGTCCTTATTAAACTTCATCTTGTTTACCTCCGAAATTTCTCTAGTTTCTCTAGATCTTTTTGAATTTTGACCCTATCCTCCTAATAGTTAGGAGGATAGGGTCAAATTTGGTCCACCAAATTTGGTATGCAGCTTCCTCTTAACCTAATTTAAAGCAAGGTAAGGAAAATGGGATGTTCCTGAAATCTATTTCCCATAACATGGAAAAGTGTGGGGCAGAAAGCTGTGCTCCACAATGACCGTGCGGGGAGGGAGGGGGGAGAGGGAGGGTGTTGTGAGCACAGGGGACAGCTATACAGCAGAATGACCCCATGGGGACGGACACACCAGGAAGAGAGTGGCCAACTGGAGCCAGAGATTTCCATATTGCCGGCTGCTGCCCATAGGTAAGTGGCTCCGCTGTCCCCATACCCCTCACCCTCAGCCCGCGATGAAGGGGGGCCCTGCCTATCCCCAGAGGAGCTTCTGAGGCCGCAGTGTGCAACCCTGGCTCCCCCGCTGGTACCACAGCCCTGGCCGGGCACCACAGAGGAGCTGGAGGAGAGTGGAGGAGGGGGGAGCCCAGGCAGCTGCAATGCCATCCTCTCTACCACAGGCAGCCCCAACCTCCTGTCCTGAGCCCCCTACCCACTGCCCTGCACTCCCACACCTCCCAGACTCCTGCCCTAACCCCCACACTCAGCTGCCTACCCTGAGCCTTGCCTACACCTCCCAACCCCCTGCCGTGACTCCTACATCCCCCCATACTACCAGTTCCCTACCCTTAAAGACTCAAGCAACACCAGGTAAGTCTTCTAATATTTTTTATAAAGCACACAGACTAGAGAGCTAGAATACAATACAATACAATATGTGGGTTTACAATACAATGCAACTCAGAGTTGTATATAGCACAATTAAATGAGTGAGCAAGAGGTTTTAATTAAACCATCACTGTTCATTCAATGTTTATCTGATGCATGAGCAGGTAACAAAATTAAACTTCCTTGTGTTTACTTACCTTGGGCTATATCTAAACACTGCATGGAGAGCATCCAGTAATAATATGCTGCATCATTAAATCGGCTTTCTACCACAGCATTGTGAGTTAGCTGTTCCAGCACTTTTACGGCCTCGCTCTGTCTGCCAGCCTTGTGGAATGCTAGAAAGGAGACCAAAACAAAGAAGATTTTACAATGTGATTGTATCAATTAAATGAAAAAAAAAGTAAGTTAAAAACAGGACATTCATCAAAGCTGGAGCAGGATGAAAAGGACTACACTGGTATTTTTCTACTTATGAAAGTGGTGCCACTAATGTAAAATAGAAGTATTTGAAGGTACTTTGTGGCTTTTTTATTGTGCTAGGATACGATGTAGGAAATACAGCTATCACATGAGTAGCATAAGGCTAGTTACTTTAAATTAAAAAAAAAAACTGGAGAGAACAAAATCATCATCATAATTATTAGATATTTGCAAAACAGGGAAAAATGCAGGACACTGTGGGAACAAGTCAAAATTCCAATCTTCTAAGGCTTGAGCTACACCCCAAAATTAGATCAACCTAGCCATTCAGGACTGTGAAAAACGTTATATCCTGTGTGATGAAATCAGGTCAACCTAACCCAGAGATTCCCTTTGGGTAACATGAGCCAGTCCGCTGCTCCCACCCAGCCCCCAACTGCTCCCATGGAGCATTCAGATGGCTCCCAGGTGCTTGCCTGGGGGCAAAAGAGATGCAAGCCTTCTTGGTCTGGTGCAGAGATCTTGGACCTTATTGAGGTTTGGGGTGACAAGACCAACCTTCAGGATCTCCACACCAGGTGCAGGAACACCAATGTCTATGGCTGCATAGCCAAGAGCGTGGCCACCAAAGGACCCATCCGCTCACACACACCTCCCCCAGCACCCGGCCCCCCCCTCCTCAAGCAGGTAGGGATACAAGTCCTCTTCCTGCGGGACGATGCCACTGCTGGACCCGGCGCACAGAGGGAAGCTCAACTATCCCATGGCCCGCCTCCTGCCTGCAGGATCCCAGTCTGGCCGGCACCTTCACATGCTTTCTTGTCCCTGGAACATGGGAGTAGTGAGGTTCCTCCGGGGACATCTGGGCCCCTGTAGGAATGGGCCCACTGGCCAGAGCTCACATGGCCTTGTTCTAAGCACATCACCTTCGACTGAACTGAGAACTGTCACTCTCAGCTCACAGATGAGGGAAAGGCTTCAGGTACAGTGTGTCCCCTGGGATGACTGACTGTCTCTCTTTATTCACCACAGCCAGACAGCTGTGAGAGGGAGGTGGTCACCACCACCCGGGACAGCTCTCAACCCAAAAGACCCACAGGTGCCGGAGACCCATAGACGAGTTCCAGAGGAAGCATCTCGCGGCACTCCAATCCCTGGAGGAGACCACTGACCACAGGCTTCAGAAAGACATCCAGCTGCAGCGGGGCACCTGGTGGGAGCTGCTAGCGCAGCACTGTACCATGTGCGCGACTGTGCAATCCCTCATTGCCATCATAATGCCTCCTCCTGCTTCTACTCTTGCTCTCACTGTAGCTCCTCCTCCCACTCCCGCTTCTCCTCCAACACTCCACCCACCCGTGGCCATCATGGCCCCTGCACCTATGGCAGTGGGATCACCACAGCCAGGCACCATTCCCAGCCCCAGCCCTGAGCCTCTCCTCCTCCCTCCAAGGTTCTCATTCCCTCTCTTCCCCTCTCCCAGGTTCTTTTCCCAGTCCCTCCCAAATTACTTTGACCCCAAATAAAAAGAAACAGAGATTTTATTTTTTCCATACACGAATTGAAAATCTGTTTTATTGTGTCAGCAGTGCAGGGGGCAGGCTCTGGCTGGGAGGCACTTACCTAAGTGGTTCCCAGCCAGCAGCTCTGCAGACTCCAGCCTATGTGCTGTGCAGCTGTTCCACGTGGTTCTGCTCCAGCACAGGGAGGGAGTGAAGAGGCATCATTCATTGCCCCTGCCTTCAGCAAAATTTCTCAGCTCATACTGGCCAGAAACTGGTCAATGGGAGCTTGAGGATTTTGTGAGGGGAGAGGGACTGCGTAAAGCTTTCTTCTCCCTGCCCAGCTTGCAGGGCTATTAGCAGCCTGCTTTTTAAAAGGAGCTGCTCCTGCTTTGTAGTAAAAATGCTGGCAAGGCGGCTGTGGGCCGGATCCGGCAGCTTGGTGGGCCATATCCAGCCCACTAGCCACCTCTTGCCCACCCTGGCCTAAAAACAAGGACAGGGATCACACCTCCTTTTGGTGTTTGTTCAGCGTCCAGTACATTTTTGGATGCTATATTAAAGGAAAATATTGATAATACACTGTATATAGTACATAAGATCACTTTTCAAAACACTTGCTATATTCAAGCACACGGTCGGAAAGATGAGACAGAATGATAGCCTTTTTAATAGATGCTATTGCTTTTGTTAAGTATGACATATTTTCTTACCAAATAAGAAGACCTCATTGATAACCAGACTATAATCTCCTATGATCAGCAAAAACATTTTCCAGTTATCTCATTCTTTAAGTGGTTTGTGTTCTTCAGATTGACAGTTCTCCAGGGCAGAGACTGCATCATCAGCACTTGGAAAATGCTTAGCACATTTTGAGTATTACCTTCATATATCATGTAGAGTCCTACCTTTTTGAGCCTCTTCAAATCTATCATTCTCTGCTAGCCACCGAGCATAAGGGACATAGACATCGTCTTTAAATTCAGGATGCTTTTCACTCAAAGCAAAAGCCTATGGTACAGAATGAATTCATTAATAAAAGATTACATGGTTTAAGCGAATTCACAATACTGCATACTAAATTCTTTAGTTTTATACAAAATTCACAACACAAATCTCATTTATACAGGAAGTATGAAAATTTCAACCAGCATTTTCTCCAAGAAACCCAAAACTGATGTATTTTAAAAGAAAGGAAAATCAACATCCATAAAAAAAGAAGCAATACTTAGTAACAGTCCAGTTTTTGAACTGCTAAAATTTGTGGAAAACCTGAAAACAATAAATTATTTAGGGGACTGAGTGGGTTTCATGGCACAATACAATGTGTTTATTTTTACTGAATATATTTTCTATAAAAGCAATACTGGTGTGTCCATTGAACAAACATGGGCTAAGCACAACCTTTTCAACAGCACCCACATGACTTAAGAGTCTAAGTTCAAATGTCATTATTCTCCTTGATATGTCTCACGACTGTGTGTAATGCAAAGCTTATCACATTTACATAACAGCCATATATGCTTAAACATTTGTCAAAAATACCCACAGAGACCCTTATCAGTAGGGAAGTATTAGTCTAATACAATGTAACTTACCAAAATATTATGTAAGCTGTATATAAACCTTTGAAACCAGATGCATTCAGAGACAATATGAAATAGCAATTATAAACATCAGAAGTTAGATATTATGGTATTCTTACTTCCTCCCAACGGTGAGTTTCCACATGGAGATGTACCAAGGCCTTTAGGTCACCTATCTTCATGTAAGTTTCTGCTGCATAACCATGGTTGTCAAGTTTTTTAAAATAGTAGGCACATTTTGACAAAGGTTCACGCTCAGCTTTATCCAGTTTCCTAGCTATATCAATTAACCTAGAGACAGCAAAAGAAATGAAGCTGCTTTATTAGCAGCATTTTTCTCTCTGCATACTTATTACATTGAAAAAAATGGAAATATTTCAATAAAAGGTTATAATTTAAAAGTTACTAAACTGATTACATTATATCTGGTTCTAGTCCTAGCTCTGTAGCTGACGTGCTTTATGATCTTGTCACTTAAGTCATTTAACCTTCCTGTTTCTCTGTTTATTCATCTGTATAATGGGAGTAATAATGATTGGATACTGATTTAGACGTTGGGTGAGGTTTGTATGGTACCAGACTGAATGACCCCTATTGATAAGATTGTATAATAGAGTAGTCCAGCTGAAGTCATTACTCTCAGAAGTAAGGAATTACACACTGTTGCAGGAACTTGGGTTTACAAAGCCTTTTGAATGCCCAATGAATGCTCTATCTCCACAACACTTTTCTAACATAATGAGAGATCATCTACTATAACTACAGGATAGGTGATACTATACTGCAATCAACATACAGAAGCCAAAGAGAGAAAGCCAGTCAGGTTTTTTTCCTTTAAGATTCTGAAGAATGCACTAAACTTCACATTAGATACTGATATGTGTCTCTGAGACAGAGCTAAAACATACATATCAACCCAGCCATGGTCTCCACTGATTTCTATGGCCTTCATGTGCTCGCCTGCAGAAATGTACATCTCCACCCTCCTGTCCTGAGCCCCCTACCCACTGCCCTGCACTCCCACACCTCCCAGACTCCTGCCCTAACCCCCACACTCAGCTGCCTACCCTGAGCCTTGCCTACACCTCCCAACCCCCTGCCGTGACTCCTACATCCCCCCATACTACCAGTTCCCTACCCTTAAAGACTCAAGCAACACCAGGTAAGTCTTCTAATATTTTTTATAAAGCACACAGACTAGAGAGCTAGAATACAATACAATACAATATGTGGGTTTACAATACAATGCAACTCAGAGTTGTATATAGCACAATTAAATGAGTGAGCAAGAGGTTTTAATTAAACCATCACTGTTCATTCAATGTTTATCTGATGCATGAGCAGGTAACAAAATTAAACTTCCTTGTGTTTACTTACCTTGGGCTATATCTAAACACTGCATGGAGAGCATCCAGTAATAATATGCTGCATCATTAAATCGGCTTTCTACCACAGCATTGTGAGTTAGCTGTTCCAGCACTTTTACGGCCTCGCTCTGTCTGCCAGCCTTGTGGAATGCTAGAAAGGAGACCAAAACAAAGAAGATTTTACAATGTGATTGTATCAATTAAATGAAAAAAAAAGTAAGTTAAAAACAGGACATTCATCAAAGCTGGAGCAGGATGAAAAGGACTACACTGGTATTTTTCTACTTATGAAAGTGGTGCCACTAATGTAAAATAGAAGTATTTGAAGGTACTTTGTGGCTTTTTTATTGTGCTAGGATACGATGTAGGAAATACAGCTATCACATGAGTAGCATAAGGCTAGTTACTTTAAATTAAAAAAAAAAACTGGAGAGAACAAAATCATCATCATAATTATTAGATATTTGCAAAACAGGGAAAAATGCAGGACACTGTGGGAACAAGTCAAAATTCCAATCTTCTAAGGCTTGAGCTACACCCCAAAATTAGATCAACCTAGCCATTCAGGACTGTGAAAAACGTTATATCCTGTGTGATGAAATCAGGTCAACCTAACCCAGAGATTCCCTTTGGGTAACATGAGCCAGTCCGCTGCTCCCACCCAGCCCCCAACTGCTCCCATGGAGCATTCAGATGGCTCCCAGGTGCTTGCCTGGGGGCAAAAGAGATGCAAGCCTTCTTGGTCTGGTGCAGAGATCTTGGACCTTATTGAGGTTTGGGGTGACAAGACCAACCTTCAGGATCTCCACACCAGGTGCAGGAACACCAATGTCTATGGCTGCATAGCCAAGAGCGTGGCCACCAAAGGACCCATCCGCTCACACACACCTCCCCCAGCACCCGGCCCCCCCCTCCTCAAGCAGGTAGGGATACAAGTCCTCTTCCTGCGGGACGATGCCACTGCTGGACCCGGCGCACAGAGGGAAGCTCAACTATCCCATGGCCCGCCTCCTGCCTGCAGGATCCCAGTCTGGCCGGCACCTTCACATGCTTTCTTGTCCCTGGAACATGGGAGTAGTGAGGTTCCTCCGGGGACATCTGGGCCCCTGTAGGAATGGGCCCACTGGCCAGAGCTCACATGGCCTTGTTCTAAGCACATCACCTTCGACTGAACTGAGAACTGTCACTCTCAGCTCACAGATGAGGGAAAGGCTTCAGGTACAGTGTGTCCCCTGGGATGACTGACTGTCTCTCTTTATTCACCACAGCCAGACAGCTGTGAGAGGGAGGTGGTCACCACCACCCGGGACAGCTCTCAACCCAAAAGACCCACAGGTGCCGGAGACCCATAGACGAGTTCCAGAGGAAGCATCTCGCGGCACTCCAATCCCTGGAGGAGACCACTGACCACAGGCTTCAGAAAGACATCCAGCTGCAGCGGGGCACCTGGTGGGAGCTGCTAGCGCAGCACTGTACCATGTGCGCGACTGTGCAATCCCTCATTGCCATCATAATGCCTCCTCCTGCTTCTACTCTTGCTCTCACTGTAGCTCCTCCTCCCACTCCCGCTTCTCCTCCAACACTCCACCCACCCGTGGCCATCATGGCCCCTGCACCTATGGCAGTGGGATCACCACAGCCAGGCACCATTCCCAGCCCCAGCCCTGAGCCTCTCCTCCTCCCTCCAAGGTTCTCATTCCCTCTCTTCCCCTCTCCCAGGTTCTTTTCCCAGTCCCTCCCAAATTACTTTGACCCCAAATAAAAAGAAACAGAGATTTTATTTTTTCCATACACGAATTGAAAATCTGTTTTATTGTGTCAGCAGTGCAGGGGGCAGGCTCTGGCTGGGAGGCACTTACCTAAGTGGTTCCCAGCCAGCAGCTCTGCAGACTCCAGCCTATGTGCTGTGCAGCTGTTCCACGTGGTTCTGCTCCAGCACAGGGAGGGAGTGAAGAGGCATCATTCATTGCCCCTGCCTTCAGCAAAATTTCTCAGCTCATACTGGCCAGAAACTGGTCAATGGGAGCTTGAGGATTTTGTGAGGGGAGAGGGACTGCGTAAAGCTTTCTTCTCCCTGCCCAGCTTGCAGGGCTATTAGCAGCCTGCTTTTTAAAAGGAGCTGCTCCTGCTTTGTAGTAAAAATGCTGGCAAGGCGGCTGTGGGCCGGATCCGGCAGCTTGGTGGGCCATATCCAGCCCACTAGCCACCTCTTGCCCACCCTGGCCTAAAAACAAGGACAGGGATCACACCTCCTTTTGGTGTTTGTTCAGCGTCCAGTACATTTTTGGATGCTATATTAAAGGAAAATATTGATAATACACTGTATATAGTACATAAGATCACTTTTCAAAACACTTGCTATATTCAAGCACACGGTCGGAAAGATGAGACAGAATGATAGCCTTTTTAATAGATGCTATTGCTTTTGTTAAGTATGACATATTTTCTTACCAAATAAGAAGACCTCATTGATAACCAGACTATAATCTCCTATGATCAGCAAAAACATTTTCCAGTTATCTCATTCTTTAAGTGGTTTGTGTTCTTCAGATTGACAGTTCTCCAGGGCAGAGACTGCATCATCAGCACTTGGAAAATGCTTAGCACATTTTGAGTATTACCTTCATATATCATGTAGAGTCCTACCTTTTTGAGCCTCTTCAAATCTATCATTCTCTGCTAGCCACCGAGCATAAGGGACATAGACATCGTCTTTAAATTCAGGATGCTTTTCACTCAAAGCAAAAGCCTATGGTACAGAATGAATTCATTAATAAAAGATTACATGGTTTAAGCGAATTCACAATACTGCATACTAAATTCTTTAGTTTTATACAAAATTCACAACACAAATCTCATTTATACAGGAAGTATGAAAATTTCAACCAGCATTTTCTCCAAGAAACCCAAAACTGATGTATTTTAAAAGAAAGGAAAATCAACATCCATAAAAAAAGAAGCAATACTTAGTAACAGTCCAGTTTTTGAACTGCTAAAATTTGTGGAAAACCTGAAAACAATAAATTATTTAGGGGACTGAGTGGGTTTCATGGCACAATACAATGTGTTTATTTTTACTGAATATATTTTCTATAAAAGCAATACTGGTGTGTCCATTGAACAAACATGGGCTAAGCACAACCTTTTCAACAGCACCCACATGACTTAAGAGTCTAAGTTCAAATGTCATTATTCTCCTTGATATGTCTCACGACTGTGTGTAATGCAAAGCTTATCACATTTACATAACAGCCATATATGCTTAAACATTTGTCAAAAATACCCACAGAGACCCTTATCAGTAGGGAAGTATTAGTCTAATACAATGTAACTTACCAAAATATTATGTAAGCTGTATATAAACCTTTGAAACCAGATGCATTCAGAGACAATATGAAATAGCAATTATAAACATCAGAAGTTAGATATTATGGTATTCTTACTTCCTCCCAACGGTGAGTTTCCACATGGAGATGTACCAAGGCCTTTAGGTCACCTATCTTCATGTAAGTTTCTGCTGCATAACCATGGTTGTCAAGTTTTTTAAAATAGTAGGCACATTTTGACAAAGGTTCACGCTCAGCTTTATCCAGTTTCCTAGCTATATCAATTAACCTAGAGACAGCAAAAGAAATGAAGCTGCTTTATTAGCAGCATTTTTCTCTCTGCATACTTATTACATTGAAAAAAATGGAAATATTTCAATAAAAGGTTATAATTTAAAAGTTACTAAACTGATTACATTATATCTGGTTCTAGTCCTAGCTCTGTAGCTGACGTGCTTTATGATCTTGTCACTTAAGTCATTTAACCTTCCTGTTTCTCTGTTTATTCATCTGTATAATGGGAGTAATAATGATTGGATACTGATTTAGACGTTGGGTGAGGTTTGTATGGTACCAGACTGAATGACCCCTATTGATAAGATTGTATAATAGAGTAGTCCAGCTGAAGTCATTACTCTCAGAAGTAAGGAATTACACACTGTTGCAGGAACTTGGGTTTACAAAGCCTTTTGAATGCCCAATGAATGCTCTATCTCCACAACACTTTTCTAACATAATGAGAGATCATCTACTATAACTACAGGATAGGTGATACTATACTGCAATCAACATACAGAAGCCAAAGAGAGAAAGCCAGTCAGGTTTTTTTCCTTTAAGATTCTGAAGAATGCACTAAACTTCACATTAGATACTGATATGTGTCTCTGAGACAGAGCTAAAACATACATATCAACCCAGCCATGGTCTCCACTGATTTCTATGGCCTTCATGTGCTCGCCTGCAGAAATGTACATCTCCACTGCTGCTTTTGGTTCATTGATATTCTTTGCCCAGTCTGCTTGTTTTGTGATTAGCATCTTAGTGTCTTTGGGATCTCCGGACCCAAGGAAATCCTGAGGAAGTGCAACAGATAACATTCTTGATTAAACTTCCTGTACTAAACACTGTGTCATGGTCCTAATTCTAAAGCATGTTACATTTTGTTTTTCAATACCAAGTTATTGTTGCTTATCATAACTTTGCCTTCTCAGCTAAAACCACAGTACACAGAGCACCATGCACAATGCTGAAGTCTGGAATTATTAATCATTAACTAAGGTGCTCAGGATTATATAAAAGTGAAGCTACATGTAAAATACAAATTGGATGCAAGTAAGAGAAGATGGGACAACTTGGAAGGACCAAAGAAAGGATTATACAGAAGTGTGCCTTTGTTCAGAGGTAATGTATTTATATCCAGTTACTTTCATAGAAAGTTTTCCCACTTTGCTGACTTTCCCCCCTGCTGAAGGGCACACAAAATTTTATTTTTGCCTGTTCTCTGAGAACCTGGCACAGACACTAAAAAGAACATAGTATTGCTCTCAAAACAATTCAGTCAGGTCAATTCCAAGAGTTCCCAAAGTCTCCTTTGCTGGCCTTGAAGACATCCTTTAATTCTGAAAATAAATCCAGTTCTTTGTTGTATTAGTAATGGCACATCCTTTTAATCACAGGGGCTTTGTCTCGGGATGGTCAATCACGAGGCCATCATTCTTCAACAAATATAATTGGTAATCTTGCAATTATGTATTTTATAATATTTTAAATAATCTTTTACATGGACAGCATGCTCAGAAGTTAGTTGGCCTCTGAAATATTGCTCTAGTTGTAGCTCTTAGCACTGCAGTGTAGATGTAGCCTATTTCAGGATACTGCGTCTTAGCAGCAAGCCCATTATTTCAAAATATAACGGGCTCGCCATTCCAACGTCCCTGTAAACTTCATTCCACGTGGAGTACAACACATTTCAGAATAGCGGGTTATTTAGAAACTGACTCAAAATAAGCTACGCAATTTGATACTATGATGTTGATGATGCTGATGTTCACCACTGTAGAAATACTTATGACTAACTGATGACTCTCCTCTACTAGGAATAAAGCATGGGATCCTTTACAACATTCATTTAAATTAATTTGCCAGATAAACCATACCTGACCATCGGAATAAGGCCACTTCTGGATGTTAACAAAACAGGCTATTGTATATTACCCATAGGCCTTTCGTAACTACAAATATCACTTGAGATGTAAAAAATTTAGGAGGATATTGGTGGGCAAGGAAGGGGAGAAAAGAGAAAAAAAACAATACTCTGGCAGATCCTGAGGCAATGGAAAAACAACTACCAAAGGAGACCTTTACCAGAGTCACAAGATCAATCAAGTACTCTTCCTAAGAAAGCCATCCAAAAGGGGCATAATTAGGACTTGCAGTCTGAACACAGGCCAGTAAGATTTTGGACATGTTGATTCTTAAGAGTTACCCACCATTCAGCTGAAGATAAGAGCTATAAAGATTAGGTGATCTTGTTTGAATATTAAGAAGCCAAAGCACGGAAATGAGTGAAAAATATTTGGTTCAGTGTAATTTGTGTTCAAGCTCAGATCACTGAAATATATTAGAAACAAAGTTCAGTTTCCTGATCTGCAGTGAATGATTTGTGAATTTTCAGCAATTTGTGATCTGACATTCTGCTAAAATGCCTACGGCCACATTTTTAAAGGTTTTCCTGAACTCCAACCATAGTACTGGTTTTCTAGTTACAGCCAAATCAGTGGTCATTTTCAGTCATAAGAAGCCAGACCCTCCAAATACTTAATGATGGCAGGCATAAAAGTCACATATCTATGGAAGAGTAAGTGGCAAGCAAGGGACATCTCCAGAGATCTTATCTTTGTATATTCATCTGGGGGCTTTCTTTATATACTGCTCAATACATTTATTTTCCTTTATGTAGAATTACTCTTAATGACAGGAGACAAAATTTATTAACTTTAAATTAGTTAAGTGGCCATGATTATTCCCAAGAATCAAAAAGACTCATAGCAGCAAGTGATGGGAAACTTAAAGTCTTAAAATTAGATTTATGTTTCTGATGAGCCAAAACTCTGCAGCCAAAAATAGTGGCAGACAGATTACACAAGCAAAGCCCTACACCACATTTGTTTTAATACAGACTCCACAACCTGTTAGAGAATTTTTTTCCATAAGCTTAATATAGTTTTTATGTGTGTCATAGTAAAGTCTTTGTCCTGTGGTGTATAGAATGAGGCTGTGATGAGTGATGAATGAGACTAAACAGTGCACTCATTCACTCATTCTTAGGGATTTTGATAAGAAAATACTATATAAAACTTGAAAACCCAATAATGCTTTCTTATCACCACATAAAAAGGCCACGTTTTTAAAACTGTATACAATTTGTATGGGAACACAATTTTTAAAAATATGCAAAAAAGATTTAATCTTGGGAAGAAAATTTTCTGGTAAACAAAGATGTACTAAATTAGTACACTGTGCTATTTGCAAAGCATGCAAGAGGAAAAAAACATAAGACATTAACTCAATATCCAACTGAAAGAAAAAAGATGGAAAAGATTTTTTAAGTACCGTACAAAGTTGAATTAGTGACAGGTGGATTCAATAATTTCTTCATGTAACGATCAATTACTGTAAAAGGAGAAAACTAAGGATAAAGGGCTCTTTCCAGTAAAGTAACATGGAAGGAAGCAAGAGAGATAAAAATTAACTCTAGGCCTTAACTACATGCCATTTCTATTTATCATTCCATCCAATCAGGTGGGGGTGGGGATTCTACCCCGGTAACATCCCGGAGAGATGAAAAAAAAAATCATCCACTGAAAAGCTAAAACAGCTTCATGGGCAGCTGGAGAAAATGCAGAACACAGCACTGCTGCATCTGCAGATTCCATTTTAGAAAAAGAACAAACTATACAGACAAGTTTTTAACAGAGGAAAGGCCCTCTTTTTCACTTGAAAACCAAACAAATTTGATTGGTGGTAATAAACATGAAACCCCACACTTATATTTGTACACAGTACTTTTCAGCATAGAACCATACTTTGTAAATGTTTCTAGTTGCATTAGCTTTATGTTAATATTTCTATATTTAAATACTCGGTTAAAACATTCATTACCTTTGCATAGTCAAACATGCGCAGATCAGTGTACATATCAAGAGCGAGGCTCTCATGTCCACTCTTTCTGTATAGTTTCGCTGCTTCATGGAATTTTCCCTGGTAGGCATAAACATCTGCTAAAAATAGTTCATTGTTACTCTCTCCACGTTTCTTCCTCTCCTGGAAAAAATTAGGACAGGAAATATTCTTGATAGCTATAGGCAGGCCACAGGTTGGAAACAACCACTGAAAAGTTCAACTATTATTAAGATACAGTAATTATGCCCCACCTAGACTTCTCATAGAAATTCTTTACAATTAACAGATTAAATACCATTCTAGTTAAAATGAAGGACAAACAAAATACAATGGAAGGATAAAACACGATGGAAACTTATTCCTACAAATTTCATATAGAAGTTCAAAATACTACCTTTTATATTTTTTTAATCCATCATTTTCTCCGGTAGAAATTTACTAAATCAGATCAAAACAAAATCTGGCCTATCTATCAATATATGCTCAGAAAAGGCCTAACAATGAATGAGCAATGGTAGTGTAGGTCATAAACAGCCTCACAAAGTATGACAGCCTGCTAGTGAATCAGAAATATCCGGTAATACAAGCATGCCCATCATGCATAAAAGCCCATTACTATACACAGGTTCAATAACTTTGGAAACAGCTGAATATATAGTCCTGCCAATTCAAGTGCCAATTCAGCAAAGCATTTAAACATCTGCTTAAATCCATACAAAACCATGCAGAAACTTCTGAAGGTCAATAACAGTCTGCTTCCATTTTTGAATACATTCAATATTTGACCATCAAATATCACAAATGTAAACACTAAAAAAGTAGTATTTTTTATTCCTTAAAATTAAGGAATTTCTTCCATATTGCTAGTGGATTACCTCAGTGAGTATCATAAAGATTCCAATTTAAAAAAAATTAAATACTTCACGCTTTGCATAAGGCCTAAACCAGTACAGTTAATTGACACATGGGATTGGGCATAACATGCAAGCTGGCTGAAACCCTACTATCTCAGAGACAAACAAGAAAATTTCAACTAGGAATTTCAGTCAGACATGTATAATCTAAAAAAAAATTCTCCAAAAACTTGAATATAAATTAAACCACAAATTTATCTAATGAAAGAGATACATATTCTCTTTCATTAGAATAGGGATGTTACAATTAGATTAATCAACTAATCGAAAAAGGGCGTTTCCTCTTTGAAATGTAGCAAGAGCCTGCCTGGCTCTTGCTACATTTCAAAGGCCAAAGTGCTGCGTGGCATTCTGCCCCAGTAGGAACTTTTGTGCATTTCAAAGACTGAAATGCCACATGGAGCTCAGGGCCAGTGGGGGACTCAGAGTCCCCCGCTGGCCCTGGGCTCCATGGAGCGCTTCCGCTTTGAAATGTACAAGAGCCCCAGCGGGGACTCTTGTACATTTCAAAGGTGGACGCCACTGTTGTGCTCCTGCCTCCTCCCACGGACCTGGAGCTGCTCCCCAAAGCATCCCTTCCTCTTTGTTGCCTCTTTCCGATAGAGGCAGCAAAGGAGGGCGGGGAAGAGACTAGTCGACTAGTGTGTTGACTATCTGATAAGCTTTTGCTTATTGAATAGTTGATTAGTCGCTTACATCCCTAGTTCAGCGATGAGAATTATTATAATTGGTTGTGTCCTATCATGAAACATGAACCCAGGTAATAGAGGGAAAAAAACTGGTTTGCATACAACATAAGGTTTTGGGGGCTAGGCAGTTAGATGGGTGTACGCTAACAGAATACAAACAACATCTATACTGTATGATACTCAGTATGGGTATCTCAACTGGCTTTAAAAACAAAAACTATAGCAACATTACACATAAGTTTAACCATTCAAAAGTTACTTTAAAAGAGGAGAAAAGATGGCCAGAACACAATGGTTTTCTCTAACCCTTCAAAGTCTTATTTTATCTCTCATTTCTGCAGAGACAGAAGGATAAGAGTATTTAGGTAATTTAAAACAAATGCCCTGCTTATCCTTCAGCAAATTGCCTTTCCCTATGCTCAAGGAGTCACATGTAAGATACATAACATTTAGTGGGAGCAATTTTCAGTGCAGTGCACAAGACTGTAATCACACAATTTCCTTTCTGTATATTATATGGATAAATCACGAAAACATACTTTAGTATATCTAAAAACAGATTGTATGGATATATTAGATAGTGAATCAAACTGTGATCCTTTAATCGGAAGTCATAACATAGTTAATGCAATTCCCTTAAATGGCTTTCAGAACATTTTATGGGAAAAGGTATGTAGTTTTCTATTTTGTCCATTTCTCTTTATCCATTCACCTGGACCTATATTTAAAAGCATGCCAATTCAAGTTAAACCATGCCTATGTTTTACATAAAACTATTAGTTAAAATCTATGTCCCAAACATTTTGAACAGAATTAAGCTATATCTCTTGGAAAATGTAATGGGGTGGATATGTAGATTTATAACATTATAATCCAGATATTCAGATGGAGATCTAGCTTTCACAGACTTCAATGGCAAGACAATTTACCTCCACTGAGGATTTAGTGCTGTATCTGCCCAGTATCTTGGAAATGTATATTAGTCTGTTTCTTATAAAATATAAGAACATGAATTCTGTAATAAAATACATTATGGGGGTGGGGAGGGAAATCCTTCACCCAGGTATAGAATTTCAATCCAGCACTGCCAAAGCAGATACAATCAACATTTTTAGAGATCTCAGGTATTACTGGCTTTGAAAGTTGTGTTTATACAGTTTGAGTTAAAAGAACAATCAAAGGAGTTTTTATACAATAAGTCTTTCAGAGTTCATATCCTTCAGAATTCTTTCCAGGTAGTTATCTTTCCAGATAGTTTGTACTACCTAATGTCACCAATCAGACAGAGAAATGTGTCATTAGTATGAGGAATGCTTCATATTATCAACTTGCAATAGTCTCCATAAACTACAAGAAAGAGTAAGCAGGGATAGAATCAGAAAACTAGAACTTAAAGAGACCCCGAGAAGTCATCAAGTCCAGTACCATACCCATACAACAGGATCAAGCACCATCTAGATAATCCCTGATAGATGTTTATCCAACTTGCTCTTAAATACCTCCAGAGAGATTCCACAACCTCCCGAGGCAATTTATTACAGCGTTTAACCATCATGACACAGTTAGGAAGTTTTTCCTAATGGCCAACCTAAACCTTCTTTGCTGCAGTTTAAGCCCATTATTTCTTGTCTTATCATCAGAGGTTAAGGAGAATAATTTTTCTTCCTCCTCCTTGTAACAACCTTTTAGATACCTGAAAACTGCTATGATGTCCCCGTCCATTTTCTCTTTTCCAGACTAAACAAACCTATTTCTTTTAGTCTCCCCTCGTAGGTCTTGTTTTCTAGGCCTTTAAACATTTTTGCTGCTCACCTCTAGACTTTCTCCACCAACAAAACTAATAGGTGAGCTTATGTTTATTTAAAAGGGAAAGATTGCTAATCAAATAAATACAAACTGCAATACTTAGGATAGGATCAAGAACAGCATGCGTAGAAAGGAAAGAGGACTGAAGTGGCCAGGAAGCGTTTCCTCTTCTCCCACGGATTCAGAAAAAAAATCAGAGTTCCTAGTGCAGCACTTCATCCAGTACTGGATACTAGGGATGTAAGCAACAAATCAACTAGTCAACTATCCGATAAGCTTTTGCCTATCAGATAGTCAACACATTAGTCAATTAGTTACTTCCCCACCTTCCTGCATCTATCACAAAGAGGCAGCAAGGGTGGGAAGAGGATGGGGTGCTGGGGGGAGCAGTCTTAAAAGCCAGTTCCCTCCAGCTGCAGCTCCATAGGACAGGGAAGGAGCGCAGTGGCAGCGCTTCCTCTTGAAATGTGCATTTCAAAGATTGAATGCTGCGTGGAGTGCCCCTCTAATCCCAGGATCAATGCAGCGCTTCCGCTTTGATTTCAAAGGCAGAACGCGCGCTAGTCCTTATCGACCAACTGAATAGTCAATGAAAATCCAATCAACTATTCAAGTGGTCCCCAACCTTTTGGGGCTGCCAGGCACCCGAGAGCGGGGCCACACACGCACCCGGAGGCGGAGCTGTGCACGTGCCTGTGGGTGGGACCAACCATACGGTGCGCGCCCAGTGCTGGCACCACCCATGCACCCCGCTCCTGGGGCCAGCGCCGGCGCTGCTCCTGTGCTGCGCGCCCAGTGGTGGGGCTGCCCATACGCCATGCGCCGGGGCCGGAACAGCCCATGCTCCGCATGCCTGGGAGCGGGGCCGCCACCGCTCATATGCTGCATGCCTGGGGCCGGCGCTGCTCCTGTGCTGCGCGCCCAGGGCCAGTGCCACCCGAGCCGCGTGCCCAGGGGCCAGCACCACCCATATGCTGTGCACCCGTGGCCGGCACAGCCCTTGCACCATGCACCCAGGGGCGGGGCCCCCCAAACGCCGCGTGCCTGGGGCCGGCACTGCCCATGGCAGTGGTAGGCAAGTTTGCTACTTCTATTATATTTAACATTCTTTGTTTTTACCTCTATGCTGCTGATCAGTTCCAGATACCGAAGATCTCGTACTCTGGTAAATGCCTGTTAAAGGAAAAGGGAAAAAAAATAAAAAGATAGCCACTTTATTGGCCAGTAAGCAGCAAGGCCGAAAGCCACCGGGGGACTCATGACAAGATGTGGGGGGAGGTACAGCTCCATGCCTCCAGAAGGGGTGGGGGATGAGGGCAGTCAACCATCCATACTGCCCAGACCACACCACCCTGTCCTCCCCAGACCTCAAAGCCACATTGAGGGGTGTTCTGGTGCTCCAGTGGTGCTCCAGCAATTCAAGGAGGTCTGGGGCTCTGGCCACCACTGCTGTAGCAGCATCAGGGCTGGAAGCTCCGGTCCCCTTTGAATATCAGGACCCCGGGGTAACTGTCCCCTCCCCATTGGCTGCAGCTCTGCATCTGTCCCCCATACCAAAATTAACTGAATTTGTTATATTTTAATCAAGTTGTGGCAGTAACATCAGGATAGACAACCAAATACTATATTTATCTTTGTGCGTATTGAGCTTAGATTGACAACACAGGGTTTTGTGGGGAGCGGTCCCTAACTCAATGGAGTTCTGACCATGATTGGGGGCCCTAGGCACCACAATAAATAAGAAGGTACTATCCAACTGTTTATCATTTAAAAGAAAGAGCATAAAAGGCCAGCAGGCCAATGGAGGTCAGCCCCCTTAAGGGACACAAATCACTAAGATGTTGAATAGTTTTATTCTGGCTATTTTAGGACTTTTTACTTTACTAGTGATGCATGCGAGGCTATTAAGGAAAAAAAAAGGGAAAACTATTCTGCTTGTATGCTACAAGGCAGAACACAAGTCAGTGACAATGTCGAGCAAATATTCCACATATGCTTAGAGTTTTGTATCAAAGAAACAATGTATTAGATTATTCTGAAAATTCAGTATGAAAATAGAACAAACATATTATAATGAAAAGAGAGAGAGAGAGAGAGAGAGAGAGAGAGAGAAAAGGAAGTTAGGCAGGATAAAAGGACTGTGACACCATGTAATATCCTTTGCCAAATAAGATAAATGTACAAACAAAAGATGCCAAGCAGCAAAATCATGTTATAGCAGTTTAGCACTTACAATAAAACCCAGAAATCAAACTCTTTGAACATTGGGGTGTCCCAGACCGCGAACCAAATAAATGCTTAGGAGGAATATATATTCTGCTTACGCAAAATCAGATGAGGAGGAATTAGTCTAATGGCAAATTTTCTAGAATCTGCTTTTGTTCAGGTTAATCAGCTCTAATTCTAAGAAGATGACAGTACTCACCTTGTATGGAGGTATACTGAAAACTCCTTTTTAAGAATAGCTATTTACATAAACTCATCTACAAAGCTGCACAGAAGACTAGTCCAATGCCTCCATTTATAGGAAAATTTAAAATAAAAAGTTATGTTTGCCTTCCTATTGACACAATTTCATGTGTAAAGGATGCCTATGCCACTTCCTATGTATTTTTAAAATAATTTTGTGTTTTATAGGATATTCATGGCATTGTATTTCTTGTACCCAATTTCCAGAAAAGCCATGCAAATCAGGTAAGTCAGGATAGGGAAATCCGCAGGGGATTTAAATATCCCCCGCGGATTTAAATAAACATATTCAAAGTAGGAATAAGAGATCCTCCAGAAAAGGGCTTTATTCCTGAGGATCGCGCCAGTCTAGACGCTTTTTTTCCGGCTTTTCCCCAAGCCGGAAAAAAAGCAGCGGACATGTTTATTTAAATCCGCGGGGGATATTTAAATCCCCCGCGGATTTCCCTATCCTGACTTACCTGATTTGCATGGCTTTTCTGGAAATTGTGGCCAGTATAGATGTAGCCCTTCTGTTTGACAGAAGATGGTACAAAGACACAGACATGTACTTTACTCTATGGAAAACATGTATGCGTCATCTGCCAGTCCAGTAGCCTTTCCAAATACAGGGCTACTCCAGCAGGAAGAAAAAAGGGACAACACCGCACTATGAACATAAAGAAAGTACAATCCCTTCACAGCGGCATCCTCTAAACAGGAGTGAGACAAAGAATAGGAATATTAGCAGCAAAGTATTAGAGCAGGACAAAAACCTAGATGACAGATACATTTCAGCTAAGCAATTCTATGCTGCCACCTAGTGCTAAGAGGAGGTTACTCACCTCGATAGTAACTGATAGAAATGTAGCCGTGTTAGTCTGGTGTAGCTGAACCAAAAAACAGGACTATGTAGCACTTTAAAGACTAACAAGATGGTTTATTAGGTGATGAGCTTTCGTGGGCCAAACCCACTTCCTCAGCTCAAATAGTGGAAGAAAATTGGCACAACCATATATATCAAAGGATACAATCAAAAAAAGGAACAAATATGAAAAGGACAGATCAAATTTCAGAAGAGGAGAGGGGGAAGTAAATGTCTGTGAGCTAATGATATTCAAGGTGATAATTGGGGAACCTATCTTTGTAATGGGTAAGATAATTAATGTCTTTGTTTAGACCGAGGTGTAAAGTGTCGAATTTAAGCACGAATGACAGTTCAGAGGATTCTCTTTCAAGTCTGGTGTGAAAAGGTCTTTGAAGCAGGATGCAGTTAATCAAGTCATTGAGACAATGCCCTTTCTGGTTGAAATGGCAAGAAACTGTTTTTTCTTTGTGATCCTGTCTAATATCTGTTTTGTGGGCATTGATTCTTTGGCAAAGTGTCTGAGACATTTGTCCAATGTACATAGCAGACGGACACTTTCGGCACATGATAGCATAAATTATATTTCTGGATGAGCAGGAATATGTGTTCTTGATCTTATAACTCAATTGGTTAGGTCCAATAATGGTATCAGCAGAGTGACTATGTGGACAAAGCTGGCAATGGGGTTTGTTGCAAGTGAAGGTTCCAGTTTTGGTATTAGTGTGGTATGTCCTGTGTTGTTGGTAAGAATCATCTTGAGGTTAGGTAGTTGTCTATAGGAGACTATGGGTCTGTTTCGAAGAGCCTCTTGGAGTTTAGTATCCTGTTCCAGTATAGGTTGTAGTTTATTGATAATGTGTTGGACAGGTTTAATTTGGGGGCTGTAGGTGATGACAAGTGGTGTTCTATTGTTGGTTTTCTTGGATCTGTCTTGAAGTAGATGGTTTCTAGGTATTCATCTGGCTCTTTCAATTTGTTTTTTTATTTCTCCGGGTGAGTAGTTGAGTTATAAATGCTTGGTAGAGATCCTGAAGTTTCTGGTCTCTGTCAGTGGGATTAGAGCAGATGCGGTTGGATCAAAGAGGTTGGCTATAGACGATGGATTGTATAGTGTGTTCTGGATGGGAGCTGGAGGCATGTAGGTAACTGTATGAGTCGGTGCGTTTTCTGTAGAGAGTTGTCTCTAATTTTCCGTTGGTGATTTGTACTGTGGTGTCCAGTAAATGGATCTTTTGTGTCGAATGGTCCAGGCTGAGATTGATGGTGGGGTGTAGGTTGCAGACCACTTTGAGAAACCCTGCTTTATACATATTCACTCTGCTGATACCATTATTGGACCTAACCAATTGAGTTATAAGATCAAGAACACATATTCCTGCTCATCCAGAAATATAATTTATGCTATCATGTGCCGAAAGTGTCCGTCTGCTATGTACATTGGACAAATGTCTCAGACACTTTGCCAAAGAATCAATGCCCACAAAACAGATATTAGACAGGATCACAAAGAAAAAACAGTTTCTTGCCATTTCAACCAGAAAGGGCATTGTCTCAACGACTTGATTAACTGCATCCTGCTTCAAAGACCTTTTCACACCAGACTTGAAAGAGAATCCTCTGAACTGTCATTCGTGCTTAAATTCGACACTTTACACCTCGGTCTAAACAAAGACATTAATTATCTTACCCTTTACAAAGATAGCTTCCCCAATTATCACCTCTAATATCATTAGCTCACCGACATTTACCTCCCCCCCCCCCCATCATCCTCCTTCTGTTCTGAAATTTGATCTCTCCTTTTCATAGGTGTTCATTTTTTTGATTGTATCCTTTGATATATATGGTTGCGCCAATTTTCTTCCACTATTTGAGCTGAGGAAGTGGGTTTGGCCCACGAAAGCTCATCACCTAATAAACCATCTTGTTAGTCTTTAAAGTGCTACATAGTCCTGTTTTTTGTTTCTCGATAGTAACTGACGTTCTTCGAGATGAGTATCCCCGTGGGTGCTCCATATTAGGTCGATGTGCCACTGCTGAGCCCTAGATCGGATATTTCAGAGCAGTGTCCCTGGGGCACTCTTAGGTTGCAGGCATCCTGCATGCATGAGCCCCTGCCTCCCGCTCCTCAGTTCCTTCTCTGGCCCGGAATGATGCCATGAGAAGGCCAGAATCCTGAAGTAGAGGGGAGGGAAGGTTGTGGACCACCCATGGGGACACTCATCTTGAAGAACATCATTTACTATCAAGATGAGTAACCTCCTCTTTGAGAGTGAGATGTCCCCGTGGGTGCTCCACATTAGGTGACTACAAAGCTATTTCCATTTAGGGAAGTAGGGACTTTGGATCTGGCAGAAAAGTGGTGGAAAGAACTGCCTTAGCTAGTTTCAGGTTGGAGAGAGGTCCCTGTGTAAGTGCGTAGTGCTTTGCAAGCGTGTGGTCAGAGGACCATGTGGCAACTGTGCAAATGTCTCTTATGGGTACTTTGCAGAGGAATGCTATAGAGGTAGCCATGGCTCTGATTGAGTGTGCCCTTATGCTCTCTGGAGGGGGCACATGTGAATGCGAGTAACAGAGCTTGATACAATTTGAGATCCAGTGGGGGAGTCTCTGTGATGAAACGGCCTGGCCCTTATTGTGGTTTGCTATCAACACAAATAGTCTGGGAGACGCTCAAAAAGGTTTAGTTCATTGCAGATAAAAAGAGAGCACTCTGTGCAGGTCAAGTGTGTGCATTTTCATCTTGAAGGAATTGGCAAGTGGTTTGGGGAAGAAGGTGGGAAGGTATATTGTCTGATTGAGGTAGAAGGATGAGTATACTTTGGGGAGGAATTTGGGATGGGTAAGTAAAGTGACCTTG